CAAGGAAACAAATAAAAAGCCATCCCAGCATAGGAAAAGCTGATTCTTGCTCTTTTCATTTTGATTCTTTCTATACACATGGAAATCAAGGAGGTATCAGGAATTCAGAAATATATTTCTCAAACTTGCCACAGCATATTAATCAATCCTTGTTTTTTGCTCCTGTTAAGTTCTGAGAAAGTGTAACTTCACTCTTGGCAAAAGAGCAGCAGACCTGAAAACACACAACTAGATGAATTATGTGAAGGTGAATTACATGAAAATGTAACAGGAAGGATTGATTGGAAGTACTTGGTTTTGAAGGGAATGAATAAACAAATATTTCTACAGCAGCAAATGACAAGATTTCTGGGAATTGAGAGGAAATGCTCAAAGAAGGGGACATGGTAAATACTCTAAATAATTTCCAAACCTATCATAGTTGGAATTATTGAACTAGAAAGGTTATGCCCACCGCAGTGTTAGTATTTTCAGTCTGCAAGTCTTTAGCATTACTACTCTCACTGCAAAAATTTGGCCAATGACTCCTAAAAATGCAAATATTCACAAGACTCTCAGAATCTGGTTTGCATATGGCCCCTTCAAGATCATGCATTAAAAAATTTCACAATTACTAGCATTAGATGGTAAAAATACAGAGCCTCTTTCAAGAGAAGAAAAACATAAAGTTCATAAAATAAGCATTATTAGAGAAACACGACGCACATTTTGAGTAGCTATAAAAGCAATTATTTGGAATCAGAGAAAATTATATCTCCTGTGAAACTAAGTTTCCAATGGAAGTAAACATTTTCCCTGGCACACAAACAATTGCTGTAAGAGAACTGTCATTCTACATTCTAGGAGCTGTTGGGAGACACAGTGGTACTTTTCACAAAAGGTTATGCAAAACACATCAAAATGAATCATCCAAATATAGAGAAGATAAGATACCTATCACATTCCAGCAGCTCATGACTATTGTCACACCAGTTTCTTGACTGGCCACAGGCTGTTCCTGAAAGCATCACACACTTTAAAAGATGGGCTCCAGCCAGTGGAATTTTTATTCTGACTGACCCTTCAGCAGTTGTTTTCATATGGAAGATAAACCAGTACTTCTCTGAGTGAGTCTCAAAGAGACAAAACATTTCATGCAAGAGATTTTGAACTACTATTTATCATACAAACGACAGCCAACATCATGATAAAGCATTGGAAAAAGCATTAAAGACATGGAGGTAACTCTACTTGTCTTAAATGCTACTGCATTTACAAATGTGAGATATGTTTCGGACACATAAAATCATCATGAAAAATAACTGCTTTAGGTATTTAAGATTTTATTTTGATACACAGATCATTGACTGTTTTAAGAAGAATAAAAATATATACCCTGCTATAGACACATTTTAACACCATCTGCTTTGATTGAATAGTATGACAAATTTCTGAGTATTAAAAAAAATCTATTAAAAATTTGTTGATTATGTTTTTCACCATGTGTTTTCACACAGCACATGAGTAAAACCACAAGATCACAGCTGATGTTCATTTCCAGAAGACATCAATATTTGTGTCTCAGAAAATTATGAGGATGGAATTTGTGATTTTCCTACTTGTAAAGAACTGATATGATATTTTCTGATATCATCAAACTCTAGAAAAAACTGATAATCACAGCTTTCCTAAATATTCAGTATATGACATGACTGATTTCTGGCACAGATAAAAAGAGTTCTCTTTGTCCTGTTCATTGATGGAGGACACCATGACACTGGTGTCCCTGAATGTGCCACAAGAATGTGCCTGGTTTGCTTTGTGAAATGTTGGCATCATGGAATCACAGAATGGCCTGGGTTGGAAGGGACCTTGGAGGTGATTGGGTTCCAACCCCCTGCCATTGACAGGGACACCTTCCACTATCCCAGCTTGCTCAGAGCCACATCCACCCTGGCCTTGGGCACTTCCAGGGATGGGGCAGCCACAGCTTCTCTGGGCACCCTGTGCCAGGGCCTCACCACCCTCACAGGGAACAATTCCTTCCTGACATCCAATCTAAACCTGCTCTCTGTCAGTGTGAAGCCATTCCCCCTGTCCTGTCACTCCAGGTCCTTGTCAAGAGTCTCTCTCCATCTTTCCTGAGGGCTCCCTTCAGGCACTGGAAGGCCACAATGGGGTCACCCCAAAGCCTTCTCTTCTCCAGGCTGAAAAATCCTAATTCCCTCAGCCTTTCCTCCCAGCAGAGCTGCTCCATCCCTCTGATCCCCTTGGTGTCCCTGCTCTGGCCTGGCTCCAGCAGCTCCCTGTGCTTCCTGTGCTGGGATCCCAGGGCTGGAGGCAGCTCTGCAGGGAGGGCTCAGCAGAGCAGGGCAGAGGGGCAGAACCCCCCCTCCCCTGCTCCCCACACCACTTTGGATATGGGAATGTATTTCCTTGGGAAAACCAGCAGCCCCAAAGGCTGTCACATGGGAAGGAACCATTCCAGTGATCATCACCCAGGATGCTTCCTGCAGAGAGCCAGTTTGCTGACAAACCTGACACATAATCACCAAATATCAACTGCAGGCAGTTTTCCAGTTGGAAACTGGAATAGGGCCATGCAATGAGGTCTTTCACTTCTTTCCCCATCCTGGAAAACACAACCTTGTACACTGAACAGTATCAGCAGGACAGCTCCTCTCTGGACAGGATTTTAACCTGCACCTCCACCTGATGTAATTAAACCTCAAAATCAGAAACTTCAATATACTTTAACAAAAGGTTAAAGACAAACAGAGAAAAACAGCTTTTCTTCCATCTCAAAGAGACTTTTGTGAGGGAGGGGCATGGGAATTTAGGGGGGAAATGGAAATGAGAGTAAGTAGAAGGCATGACAAAGGAGTCATCATGAGATAATCTTGTTTGTGTGGAACTACAAATAAAACAGCAGAAAATTTAAAAGGAATGGCAAATGAGCACAAAAAACTATGTGGTTTGACAGTTTTACACAGGCTTAAAACTTTCAAGGCAAAATACTGCTTGTAAGGCACAAATATTGGAAGGGAACCAAAAAATGGAAATGATTTTTGTGTTGAGTGTATACTTGCACTGTGTGATTACTGCTGCACCAAAAAAATTCCTTACAGTGATACAAACACTCATAGATCACCATGTAAAGGTGGCTATGCATGTACAATCCCATAACACAAAACAGCAATGAAATGTTTGTATAAATATCAGCAGTCATTTCATCAAACTCAAGTTTTGTTATGTTAGCACATAACAAAACCATTTGAAGAAAAAGAAGTGTGAAAATAAACATGAGAACATACATTTAAGAATAGATGGTTCAAAAAGAAGAAAAAAACATGCCACCCATTTCTCAGATCTTTCAACAAAGTTTTATGAGTGAATAAAATCCGCCAGTATAAATCATATTTAATTAAACCTGATAGCTCAACCACAAGCACCCACACTTGTCTATTTGATTAGGCTTCAAAATCCCAGTGTTGCATTACAATGAGAGGTGAAAAACCTCGATTGTATTGAATAAGAAATTACTTGGAAATTAGTGAACAAAATTTACACTTTTTCTGGGCTCCAAAGGGGTGTTAAATGCAGACATGATGTGAACTGGGCACTGTGTTTTGTCATAACCACTCTCTGTCCTACGGCCAAGAACAGTTTTTTACATTGTTGGGTTCTCCCCAGGTAAATCTGAACCTCTTCAGCATGTTTCCACACTTCTATCCCATTTTTGGGGTTTTGATGCACATCTGACTGATCACACGTGCAAGTCATTGCTCAGTCTGTAAGAACAATCTCAAAAAAATCTTCCTGTGAAATTTCTGTATTTCATGCATTTCATTCCTTTTTAACATTCAGAAACTGGTATCAAGTTAGCAAACAATGTGTTCATTTCAAAAACACAAAACATTTTTTTTTTAAATTCATTTTACTTGTTCATAGAGCTTTAAAGCAAGTACTAAATAACTGCAATTCTGTGCAATAACCTCACTCATGATACAATCAGTTTCTCCACATTATGACATCTTTCCTTCATACTTTTGACACAGATGCTTATGTATTTAATACACATTTGCACTAGGTGTTAATTGATATGGTTAGCACAGTCAAATGGTCATAAAACACTTCTGGAAATAGTGGAGTCCTTCAAAGGGACTTTTGATGTATTTAGGACTAAGACACTCCAAGAAAATTTTTAAAAAGTGATCCTTGGTATTTTTTGCAGAATTGTTGCTAACAGTACTTAAAAGGTAACTTAGTTGCAATATAAACAACTCCAGAGGGCTACTAACAAATTAACTGCTTGGTTTTTAGACTTTCATGCTCATGGTCATTTTGATTCAAGAGCTGCACTTCAGTCAAACCAAGACCTTATTGATAACAAACCACGTTGACACTGTTCAGAGACTCATCTCTAATTGCTCTGATCTCAAATACTTGCTCTGCAGTGTGCTTTTACTCAAGTCATGCTAAATGAGGCAATTTAGGCCAATAATGTATACATATATTTCTGGATATTATATAACTCCTCACAGCCTTTTATTTTTAGGTAGGATTTCTATGAAATAACAGAAGGTGTGGACAACATATGTTTTCATCTACCATTTAAGAACCATCTCAAAATTTGGACCAAAGATTCATGAAAATCCCACACAATCAAATCCTTCATTTATCTACATAAATGAAAAATAATTGAATGGTTTTTCCAAGGCCACATAAAATGGCAGCTGTTAAGAAGTATTAAGTTGCTCTGAGACTTTTTCTCAATGCTACACTCTCCTTGAATCTCTTCCAAGCAGGCTCCAGTGTTATAGAACATTTTTGATCCCAAGAGATGAAGAGTCTCTATTTATATAGCATTTTTAAATACTTGTGTTTAGTGGCATGCTGAGGAAACAAGGTGAGAGATGGATCATTTTTTTGGGGATCATATGTGTTAATATTTTTTTCAAACAGGAAAGAATTGGCACTAAAAGAAAATCATGGAAATTCTTGCACGTGCACATCCATACCTGAGCATCAAGGAGCTCTTGACATTTGTGAGAATGCTTTTCAATGGCTAATATATACTGCTTTTCAATAGCTGCTTCTTGCTGCTGAACTGTAGATTGTAGCAGTGCCTGCAAAAAAAAAGGCACAAAATACTCAACAAAGATAAAACTGGGATGTTTATTGGTAACTGCAGATCCACTAAGGCTCATCTACAACCAGAATGTGGAATGCTGTTATAAAATTTGGAATGTGCAATGATTAAAGTACCTTTCTGTGTAACACTACCTTGTTTTCACTCATAACTAACATTTTTTGTATCTCAGATTTCTTATACAGTCTGCCTAAAAGACAGCAGCACACAGAAGATAGAGAGGGAGAGTATTTCTGTTAAATATACTCAGTTTAGTGGGACCACACAAGAAGAGGAGCATATGAAAGCTGCTGAAGAGAAGAAAAAAAAAAAAAAAAGAAAAAGCCAGACATATTTCCCTGGCTGACAAAACTCCACATCCTCTCGGCACTGTGCAAGATCCCATGGGCCAAGCATGATCTTCACAACCACAAGTCAAGTAAAAGCAGATGGAAATTCTGAGTAACATAAAACATGAAAGAATGCCCCCCCAGGATGTTCACACTTGAATGTGAAGCAGTGGAAGTCGAAGTGTGGAAAGTCAAAGCGCCAAGGCAGTAACCAGCAGCTGATGGGAGCAGGAGCTGTGAGCGTGCAAGCGCGTGTTTGTGCACAACGCCCGAACTCACACACGCTCGGCCCAGCCCTGCAAAACCTCCAGCATCTGAATGCAGAAATAGAGACAAAAAACTGGAAGATACATGAAGAAATCAAATTATCATTTGGAGAATTACGCTCAAGTTTGCCTAAACAATGATGGCAGCTAAACATTTACCTGGCTCATGTTGATTTAAGCCTTTTTTCCCTGGTAGTATAAAGTCTTTTGGCCACTTTCCAAATATTCATCAGGCTATTTATACACAGTGTACCAAACTATTCTTAACTAGTAATCAATATATTGAAATAGTTAAAATGACTGGGTAAGTTAAAACAGACATGACTTTTACAGAAAACAGACCTTTGGCCCAAATGCAGACAAAGAAAAAATCCCCATCTTTCAAACAGTCTTTATTTTAGGGATACATTTACTTCATGGAACATAACACACACATCAAATAAAATTTTGAAGACTTTAAAAAAACACCCAAGCATGTATAAAAAAGATAAAATCTTCTGACAATTTTTCAATTACCTTTCCAAATTTTTCACTAACTATCCTCTTATGCCAAAATCGCTGTTCTTCAGTAATGCTGTACCATGGTAGCAGTTCTCGGCACAAACTCAGTGATTAAAAAGGTTAAAACTTGTGCTTAATCAAAGTGTAAGAATACATTGACTGGTGTTTGCAAGGTATTTATCAAACTGTAAGTTTACTTTCAAAAAAGCCAATTTATTGCTTACTAAATTAAATTCTTTCATTCATAGAAATTTGAGCACTCAGAAAAACTGAACTCTCAAAGAAGTGTAACCTCTGTACATGAATCTTTATATTCTGCCTGAATTAGAATAGCCACATATCACTGGCAAAAATTAAGCCTGGACCTTGGGGTTTGGGTTCTTTCGTTTGCCTAAATTATTGTAGCAAGGGATGTTTCATGTAACCAGTACAAAAGAAAACAAAATAATTCTGTTCTTAGGGAACACAGTAACAGAATGGTCATTGGGCTGCCATGGCATTTCTCAGACAGATCTTGCTCATGCCAAGGGTTGAGTCACATTATGCACTTTGCTGTGCAGCCTTCACTGGCAACTGCTAAAATCCTATTAAATGGTATAAAGAACTTTCAGTTTTCAATGAAATAAATGTTATTAATTGGATGGCATGCAGAGGCTGTTAATTTTTTTAATTAACCTATTATTACTATTTTTCTTTGGAAAATACATAAAATTCCACATTTGGAAACAAAAGCCTTCCTTTTCTGTCATACTCACTATTAACACAGTTTAGATAGTACCACAGGGTTGATGCTGTATTTGACTGTTCCACTGGTTGGCCAAGTGAGGAAAAAGAGAAAAATTTCCCTACATAGCACAATACTACAGGTTTCTCTGTGGGAAATACAGCACAGGTGTGTGACACCCATCCAAATCTCTGGCAAATTTCATGATAATCAGCTACTCAAATTAAAAAAATAATTTACCAATTAGCTGATTTGCTAAACTGAAACACTATTTGGCTGCTTGATGACCAGTATCTCTAATGTTATAGTTACAATGATAATGACACAAACTCTTTTGATTAATTGCTATCCTGGGCATATACTCTTATCACTACTGAAACACCACTTTCTTCCTTAATTAGTTAAGGAGGAGTTATTAATTATACTGCTGGGCTGACATTCCATAAATCTACAGCCAATGACCTAATACCAAGCTGGCATTCTTGAAACAGTCTCCTTTTAATGGAATCATTTCAAGTAAGGTTACAGCAGAACGAGGCCTATGGCACCTGCTGCATGAAGTCAAGGGTAGGGTTTCAATATGAGTGCTCTCGTTAATTTATTTTTCCTTCTATATATGGTGCAATCAACTTCCTTGACACTGGTTGGGAAGGATCATCACAGAATCACAGGATCATAGGATTTTAAGGGTTGGAAGGGACTTTAAAGATCAAAACTCCCTGCTACAGGCAGGGACACCTTCCACTGGACCGGCTGGCCCAGAGCCCCATCCAACCTTGGCTTCTTCCCCACTTTCTGATCTCTCTACTAACCCAAAAACACTCTCAGAGAATTGATACTGCTTTTCCTTCAATACCAAAACATCATGGTGGCTTCTGACAGAACAAATAGAGTGAAACCCCTTTAAGTTCTCTATAGTCTTCATTTTAGTTTAATATGGGCTGCGTTATAAAAATCACAGAAAAAAAACATTATTTCCTCAAACCATTATAAAAATCTTCACACATCTAAATGACTGAACAAAACATTTTTAAATTAAATGAGGTAAACTAAGTAAATTAGTCTGAACCCTTGTTTGAGCTCAGATAAAGAACTAACCTTAGCTTTAAGTTTCATACATTGAAATAATTTTAGAAGACCTTGAGCTGAAAGGAAATTCAAATATCATAAGAACCATGATCACTGGTCAGAGAATTTAGTCCTGGAACTGACAGCTCACTACCTGTGTGGTGGGAATCCTGGAGAACACACACCAGGGACTGAAAAACTGCACTGTGCCCAATATGAGAAGAAAAGCTTAAAACCACCAATGATCACAACACTTCATCCGGTATTTCTACAGTGTGTTATGTACTGAGTACCAGATTATCTCTAAAATTTCTCCTCTTACTTAAAAAGGCAAAAGTGCAGGAACTATGGTTTTGCTAAAAGTGGACACCCCAGCCTATTTTTAATACAAACCTACTTGCACAGCCCTAGTGCTTAATGTGTTCATTCCACTGGCAATAGAAACCACAGCTACTTGCCCAGACAGAATTTATTCTAAGGCCAGAAGCTAGAATTTATGAGAAACCCTCTTGAATTAAATAGCCAAAATAGGACCATTATCCCAATTCTTCACAAATTCCCTAAGAGTAACAAATTAGCAAACCCCTTTCTTTCAACTCTTTACTACAGGAAAAAGCTGTTCAGGATAAAGGCAACAGGAAAAACAAAGCAGAGGTCATTATCCTCTCCTATCTCTTTTGAAAAAAAAATAAAAATTAAAAGCAATTCTGACCCATGCAAAACAAAGGCTTCCCAGACACATAGCATTGTGTGAAAATGTTAAACCTACTCATATGTGACATCAGTATGAAATACAAATCATGGTGTACACGTTGCTGGGTTATGTTTTAGAATGTTCCTTAAAAGCACTGCATCAAAAGCCACAGTCGACCCAAAAGAATATCCTGCTCAAGCATCATTGGCTTGTTTAACCAGCTAAATGGAAGTCAGTACATAAAACCACTTCTTTACTTCAAAATTGCTGAGTCAGGATGACCAAAACAAGTCATCTTTAAAAATAAAAGTTACAAATGAGAAGTTACCACACTGCTTCAAACATGCGAACTGCATTAAATACAGCAATAGTACTTTGGAATTTTTATGCTTTATAGCATTAGACAATGATTCATCTAATTCAGCACACTGTCTCCACCATTTAATAACTTGCTGCTACTTAATTTGAGGGTGAAATGCAATTAACCAATTGCTGAACGAAAAAACAGAGCAGAGGACAATGCAAATTCTTTCCTAACCCGTGGAAAAGATGCATTAACTCAATAAAATGCAGTATTTGGCTAGTTGGGTTCTAATTCAGCTATTAGCTAAGACAGAGATGATACAAATAAAACTATTTAGAAAAAAGTATTTTTTGCAGTGATATACAAAAAATAATTTTTTATTTGTTGAATATTTGTGGATATTTGTTGAATATCCACAAGCAAATTCAACTGCTTGTGGTTGAAACTGTGTTGATCCATACCAGTAAGGATCATCAACTTACAGTTTGAATGCTATGCTGGGTTTATCTAGATAGCTCAGTTTTACTGGTATGTGAGGGCAAAGGATTTATTTTCCACAAAACAATGTTCTCACAGACTCCTGCCAGAAACAAACTGCAAACTCACTCTTAATCTTCTATTAACCTTCCAATTTTTATAATATTTAATACTCTATTTATTATTCCATAGTGAGAAGCACATAAAAAATTCATCCTTACTAGAAGGGGAGGGTGAGATTCCTTGCAATTTTTATAATTGCTTTCAAAATGTACAGGTCATTTTAATCAATGCTAAAATATTTTTGATAGCCAGATCTCTGAAAGTATGAGATTGATTCCACCTTGCTTTTATTGGAATTCTGTAGAGAGACTTCCATGGTAGCATCATTGTTGTACAGAAGTACTCTTATACTGTAAAATCCCAAGGAATCTCTCCAGACACCAGCTCTCCATGAGAAAAAACAATGTTGTTTTATATTCTAGGCTCACTTGAATCCTAGTGTGACTTGCACATGAACAAGCATAGAAGTTGGAAGTGAAATACAAGCCCTCGCAACAATTTTGGATTTGTCCTTTTATTCATGTGTCAGGCCTTTCTGAGCCAGGATGTCAACTTGGAAACTTAATAAGCTAAGCTGATGTTTAAAAGAGCTGAAAACTGGCCACATTTCAGAGCTTTCCCTCACTAGGGATAAACCATGTCTAAAAAAAGATATCCTGATACTAGATTAACTTCTTTTGTAATGAAATCCTTTAAAATTTCCTTTGTTTATTAGAGGGTAACCTTTCAGTTCAGAGGTGTATTATTGGCACAAATATTTTTGAAAGAAAATCTGATGGCCCCCACATATTCCATGCTTTGAAAATCTGTCTGTTCTTACATTCTGAAAATCTGAAAAAAACCCACCACCTTACACTGAAAACTGGTGGACAAAACTCTTACTGCAGCAAGGGCTGGGAAGAGCTTTGCACCTTGAAGTTCATTTCTATAAAGGTAAGACACCTCTGATTCATGCAGGTTGTCTTTTACAACCCTGTTGATTGCATAAAATAATCTAAGGAAATAAAACCCATCTAATAAACAGACCTACCTGTAACCTCATATTCTTTAAAGCTTACATTAGAGGATAGTTCATAGGATGAGAAATAAAACAGATTAAAACTATTAACTCATCTATTTACAGAACTGTGACAATTTCAGAACAAAAAGCTTGACTAAACAAGCACAGGAGAAATTCTTATGTTGCTTGTGGTAAATATCTTCAGATGTGATGTGATCCCACAAGCAAAACTTCCAAGATCTACATTTACTTTTCTTTACCGTGGTTAATTACCAGGGACAAAAGTTTAAAACAACAATGACATGAAAGACAGAAATTAAACAAAATTAGGTAAACATGAGAAGGGGAAACTTGGCCTACACAGAACACTGAGTTAATTTTTAATTTGCTTTCCTGTGGTCTTTAATACAAATTTCGTGACTGTGTTGTGGATGGTTTATTTGTTGTAAGGAAGATTAGAATGTGAGATGCTTAACAATGGCCAAGGCTTTTGAGGGTTTGTGCTACAAAGCATCTAATGGTCTCTATTAATGGATTTCCAAACACATTCAACAAGTGAACATTCCAAAGATAACTGAATTTAATTCTAAGGGCTTTGGTATATCCAGGTCCTTGAAAATAGGTCGTCCAATATTTGGCTTCTCGTGTAAACTGCATTTTCAGCACTGCTGCCATATTAAGGACCAGTCAGGAGTAGGAATCGAGGGGGTTTGTCCTCAAACTTGAGTACCTGGTCTGCTCAGGGACACCACACTAGTGAATGATCCATGTGGAGAAATACTGTCCCTTTCACAACAAATAAGTCCCCAAAATACAGGAAAGGGGCTTGAAGGAAGTGTAACACATTTGGAAGTACAGGAAGATACATCAACAACAACAGAGGTCTGCAGCAGCACATCTGGAAGGAGTGGACTTAGCTCTGAATGAAAGAAAACTGTGTTTTTCTGGTTACCAAAGTGGCAACTCTCTTTTCCATTGTAAACCAAAAGGAAGGCACATTCACAAATCCACCAGCAATAACACTTACCTATGCCAGGAACACAGAAAAGACAAGTCAGCCAACTTTCTTCCACTGCTGTTCCACTCAAGGTTTCAATACCTGAGTTACAGGATTTGGGGTTTGAGGCATTCTGGGGATTATTTCCTGGGGCTAAGGATGAACTGCTCATATTTTCACAAGCTATCCTTAAACAACCCATGTTGGCCATTATAAATTGAGCTGCGGCTCTGCTTGGAGCAGCACCACAGAATTATAATTGAATTGGTTTCAGAGAGGATTAGTCAGAATTACAACACTTCTGACTGCAACACAACCTAATTAGGGCCTGAGCAATCCCCTGATTAGAAAAGCCCTCATCAGTTCACCTGGAATGCAAAATAAGCCTGTTGTCATCACAAACAAGATCTTCCTTCTCATGCCTTTTTTAAATGACCCATAGACTTGTTTAGGTGAATTTCCACACTCAAGGTAACACAGGGATTAATAAGATAGCACTTACAAAAAACCTACTGAAAATGGAAGTTACTTCTGCATATAAACAATATGTATTAGAGTAACACAGTCTAAATTCTAAAGAAGACATATTTCAGCACAAAACTAAGTCTGGCTAATCATTAGTAAATTAAAAGAGTTAATAAATCTCACGATTCTGTCTTTCACTAAAAGGAGTAATCAGATTTACTTTACATCCCTAAAAAAATGCTACATTAGGAACCCTTATTTGGTTATCTAATTGCCACCATATCTGAAAAATAGAATAAACTCCTAAGGATCTGAGCAGTTAAAAAGCCCCAAGAATGTAAGATACTACTTCTATAATTACAAAACCACATTTCACTTGCTTACTTAAGAAAAAATAAATCTTAGCCCTGTTTCATATTGAAATATTAACAATGAATTAATATTTTAAAAGAATCCATGAGATAATTTTCTCAAACTAAACTACAGAACAGATTTTGTCTCCACTGATGATACAGTGTTACTTTTTTATTTAAAGGACATGGCAAAGGATTACAAGAAAGGTATTAAACAACCAACCAAAAAATGCTTGGGATTTTTTAAAAACCCTGATGAATAAGTCACCTCATGTTTGCAGACAGGGCTGATTGCAGTAATTTACTCAGAGCTTGGCATATCTGATACTATTTCTCATCAGAGTGTTCAACTAACCACATGAGGCAACAGGAAGGCTTGTATGAGGCATTTTCATGTCATGGTTCCATGGTATTAAAGAGTGACTCTATATAACTTGAATATAAACATTCTATGAGAAATAATACACTAAATATAAACATTGTTTAGAAACACAGGGTTCAATTAACTCCCTAATCTTTTGTGCCAAATCACTGAAACTGATAAACATAAATCTTATTTTCCAGAAGGCGTGTCAGATCTACCCAGCTGCTGCTGACTGGTAAAAGAGCTTTCAAAAGTTATTATAGCACATAAATGTATCCCTTTACCCAACTATACAGGAAGAAATTATTCTTTTAAAGGGCCAATATAACCCATGCAGAGCTCTCCTTTAGTTCACACAAATCCATTAAAATGGTGAAAAATTACACCTCAAAAACATTCAAAACTTTCATTCAATACCATAAAATTGTTGGATTTTACAATTTGCCTATATTTTCAGAACTAAAAAGAAGGAAACATAAGTGCAGCAATTACCAAAAGCTCACAAGCTTTTTCAAATATAAGTCCACCCAGGAACAGACAGACATTGTACACGTATCTAGAACAAAACAGAAACTAAAAATGCTGCCATTGAAGATGTTCAGTGGCACATCCAAAGGTGCACACTCCACATAAAATTCCCTTTTGAGAATTTCTAAGGCCAAGGGGTCCTCAAAGAAATAAGGGAAGAGGAGCAAAATTCTCCCCCAGAAGTGAAATGAGGGAGGCATGGAGAAGTGGGACACCACCAGTGGCCATGTTTAAGTTTTCTCAGGAATGGAAACTTTTGAAATGTTCTTCTTGACAGGTTCAGAATCAAATTACTGTAAGTCATATTGATGGAGACAGACACATTTCTACAGAGAGCCAATTTCAATATTAGTTAGAACACTACTAAAAGTTACTAGCAAGATTATTAAAAGGCTTTCTTATTATCATAAAATCATTAATATTGGAAATGATTGCTAAAATCATCATGTCCAATCCCTAACCCAGCACTGTCAAGCCCACCACTACATCTTCCTGCCCTACATGCCAGGTCATTCTTTGGTTACAATTTACTGCTACCAAATAGTTAAAATCTGAAATTCCCCTTCACTAACTACATTGTCAGATTTGTGTACTTAGCTCACAGTTGCCTACCAGATCTTAAGTTTCCCTTTTCATTTTCAAAACCAGCCTTAATTTCCATTCCCTATTATCACAATTTTAAGTCTAACTAGAATTCTTAGCTTTACCTTCTCCTCCTAACTTGATTCAATTTTTGTCCTTTGTGAGTTTCTTACCCAACAGTTTCCATAACAGAACAAAAGACACAGATTTATGCTCCATGGCAACATCCAGTTCTTCCATTTTACAAGCTGGCAGGAACTAAAACAGCATGAAAGAAGAACTACAGATTCAGCTTTATTTCATCCATAACTCCCTCCCTTAGTGCTGTGTGGATCAAAACCTGCTGAACTGCTCTGTGATGATGCTTTCCTGCAAGTGCAGCTCTGGAGACTGAAGAGGTCCAAAACGTGGATTTGTGATAAACAATCCAACCCAAAGTTTACCACAGCTGACTGAGAATTTTGGGTTTGTTCTGGTTTTAAGTTTCCTTACTGAAAATGGCTAACCAACTCTATCTGAAGTTTTCCAAAGTGCAGACTGGGAAAGCATGTCATGCAAAATTTCAAACCAAACAATCTAAATTGAAAGCAACAGAAAAGACAGTGAGAGAGGTCGAGCAATCAGCACAAGCAATACTAATAATTGTGCACTGCAGGCACTCATCCTGTTCACTACTATAATAACACCATTTGGAAATTGTGTTAGCTTGGCAACTCATTTACCTTGAATTCTTCAACAATAATAGTTAAGGCTTCATGTCCGGCTTTTCTCATGTCTTCTAATTCCTGCTTATGCTTTTCCTGTACAAAAATACAGAAAACATTAGGCACATGACATAACAATTTTAATTCAGGAGAATGAATAAATAAATAAATAATTAAAAATTATTTTCCTGTTTTGGTATCTTTCATGAAGAAATGCACACAGCTTGATCCTTTAGATATTATATATATAATGTATATGAATATATATATGTGTATATACATATATATGCTAAATTCAAGTAGGTTCCAGTATTAAACTTATTTTTATTTCTTTATTTCACTTCATAGACCACAGATGATTCTAAATGTTCTCCAAGTTTTGGGTTTTTTTTTTTTGTTTTCAGAACTTTCTTTGTTTTTTGGTATACCCATGGATGGCAGGACTTCCAAATCACCTTCTTAGTAAATGTTATTTACTGCCTCAACATGTGGTTACATCATTTTAATCCCACTGTGATGCAATAATGTATCACTGATAACACAGATCATTGAAACTCTGATATTATACAGGTTAAAAACCCCACTTGTTTTGACTGAGGAAGTAAGATATCCCATTTTGGTAGAAAGCACAGTGCCTCTCACTCGCAATACCAGGCAAAGCAAAACACAGAACAAAAAATGCCATTTGTCCCTTTACAATCAATTCCTCAAGTTTTTAGAACCAGTGACTTGTTCAAGGTCATGTCCTAAAGATGTGAGCTGGTAACACAAGTTGAAGTGTTGACACCAAGGCATTCCTGTAACACCTGTAAACATTCCTCTATTCCTGCAGGAAATGTTCAGGGCAGGTATCTGAGCTGCTGCTGCCTGCCTGCCTTCTGTCAGGCTGTGGTACCCTCAGGGTAGGTAGCTGCCAGTCTGAGCCAGTATCTCAGAAAGTTATGCACTCTCTTCCCTTTCCATTCCTGCACTCATGCAAGAAGGCAAACTGTAGCTCCCTGCTACAGTTCAACTGAAGTGGAAGACAAATTTCAAATCCATCTTAGGCAGCTTTGCTTTACACAATTACATCATTAAAAGTCCTCGATAGTGGAGTCATTGCACCAAGATTTTTGCCTCCATAAAATCAATTCTTCTTTAAGATCATCATTTAAAAGATTACAAATAACATTTAGCATCATAATGAGTCTGTTAAGTTCTTATTTGAAGATATAAATATTTCCTTCAATTCACCCAAGTGCAGAGAAAAAATAATAGTAATACTGAATGCAAAGGAGAAATTGAGGTAAACATGATGAAAACCAATGAGAAACTGAGGTAAACATGAGAATCAGTCCATAATGGCTAATTAATATACACACTAGAGTGTGCTATTGTGTATAAAATAGAGATTGGTCACTGTTTCTGTTCATGTGAAATGAGAATGTGAGCTCTACAGAACTAAGACACGGGAGCATCTCCAAGTCTCTAGTAAAGCAAGTATTTCCACTTTGGTCCTATCATCAACATACTAGTGAAAGATGCAGCTAAGAACCTTAAGATAAGGAAAAATACAGGGAGGAGGGAAAGATTTCAGATATCCCAAGATAACCAAAAACCCCCACATTATACACAACCTTAAGCTCACCACAGGAAGCAAGGAGACACTGATTTATTTCATACAAGTAAACATAATTTGTATCTCAAGCATAACAATGGAAGACTCTGAGGTGAAAAATGAAGTGAGGTAGCAAATAAACTTTCACAAGCAACTGCCTAACATCGTGGTGGTGAGGACATTTCCTGCTGAGTTAGAAATGAGTTGAGCCAGAGTTGAGTGAGTGTGAACAGAGCAGCCTGCTGGGAATATTGTGACTGATTAAATGTGAAAAACTATGCAAAGGAAATAGTATGGAAGAGGCTGCACATGCCCCACACTGAAGCAGAATTACAGTTCCCACACCACTCTCTGAGTATTTGAGGGGTATAATAAGGATCTCCTCCCTATCATATTTAAGACATTAATATTTTGTGAAGAACAAATATAGTTTATATCTGCTCTTTCTTCTTCCCTACACGATGTGCATACAGAGACCCTCCACTGAAGAGGACATTAAGCAATAAAAAGAAGTGCTAAAGATAAGTATTTTTAGTATGAAAGCACATTTTACTACCAAAACTGCATGATATGGTAAATAGCACCTACACTTGGCCCAGGAATCCTTCCCTGGCTGCCCTGAAGTTTTGAAAATATTACACAGATAGTTCTTTGGGATGAAGCTAAAAATGTGCCAGGGCAACTTATGTCCTGGATACTTTCCTACTTCCCCACATAATCTAAATGGTGGGACAGGACAGCAAGAGGAAGCAAGGAAGGAGGAGTGAACAGGAGAATGATGCCAGCGAAGCTGACAAGAAGAGAACATTTCCATTAAACAACACAATAAGCATAAAAGGAATTCTGAGCTTCATAAGGATATTATTATATCTCTTGTCTCAAAAGCATCAGTCTTCAGATGAAATTAAATTCCACCACTGTCCATAAAGAACAAAATATTAATTTGGAAAGGGCTGCCAGGTGTCATCACTGGCTACTGATACTGAAGCCAGTTGTAACACCCAACACAACTTTACACAGTGCATGTATTCAAAAATCCATCTGTATTTATTTACTGTATTATAATATTATAATTTTAATTATAATTAAGTAATTATAATTAATTACTGATCATAATATATCAGTATTTCTTTACTGTAGTACGCTTCATGATACATATAGACATGTATGAAAAAACTACACTAGGAGAGTTTTCCTTCTTTCTATAGACAGGAGACTGACCTGCACATTGCAAGGGTCTGGAAAAAGGGCAGCTTAAGGAAAGAGGAAAATACTTAAGCAAGTAGGACCCAGTTAAGTCCGTGATGCCTGACAGGATGACCCCACAAGTGCTGAGGGAGCTGGCAGATGTAATTGTGAGGCTCCGCTCAATACCTGTGGCTGATCACAATGTCTGGAGAACTGTCTGAGAACTGGATAATGTCATCCCCATAAATGTCATCCCTGCCTTCAAGATGACAAGAAACCACAAGGAGCTACAGGCTAGGCAGTCCCAACTCAGGACCTGGGAAGGTAATTGTGCCAGTTTTTCCTGCAACAGAGGGAAGTTTTTCACAGTAGGGGGCTATGTTTTGGACTTGTGCTGGAAGAAGTATCCAAAACTCATGGGTATTTTAGTTACTGCTGCCTTTTCACACTTCTCTAAAATCCTCACGGAGAAGCTGCCTAAGTGTGGTCAGGAGAAGCTGAAAGAGAGGTGGATTGAAAACTGGCTGAACTGCCACACCCCAAAGGTGTCCCAGGGGACAAGAAGCTGAACATGAGGCCAACAATCCTGGACTGCATCAGGCTAAACATTGCCCCCAGGTCACAAAAGGTGATCTTACCCCTCCACTCAGCACTGTTAGGGCCATTCCTGTGTCCAGCTCTGGGCTCCCCAGTAAAAAAAACACATGGGCATACGGGAGAGAGACCAGCAAAGGGACACAAAGATGATGATGGGTCTGGGTCATCCTTCACATAAAGAGAGACTGAGAGAGTCAACTGTTAGGTCTGGAGAAGGTTCAGGGGGATCTTATCAATGTACATAAATACCTGAAGGGATGATAGAAAGAGAGCAGAGTCAGGCTCTGCAATGGGCTGCCCAGGGAGGTGGTGGAATCACTGTCCCTGGAGGTGTTTGCAGGAAGACTGGATGTGGCACTCAGTTTAGTTGATAAGGTGCTGTTAGGTCATGGGCCGGACTTGATGATCTCCAAGGTCTTTGCCAACTTAGCTGACTCTGTAATTGCTTTCACCAAGACCTAATACACTGGGTAGGAATTCTGAGGTTACTTGGTTTTTCTCAAAACTTTTCCACAGAAAGCACTAAAAAAGATCTTACAAAGCAAACAACAGTGGAGTGCTGCATATTTATCACAGGTGAGCCCTTCCAAAGGACCCACTGCATACAGCTCACTACAGTACACATGCTGTTTTCCAATATTTATTCTGGATACAATCTTTTATTACCAGTTTCAAACATATGAAATGTCAAATGTCAAAACTAATAGTAATCAAACCCACAATTTATATCAACAAATCTTTAACTAGAGGTACCTTATGCACCTCAAATTGCTAACAGTTCCATCTGCAGCTCTGTTAACCTTTGAGAAGCAACTAAAATATGCTTTAGAAATAGAACTAATTGAAAGAATGTATATTGAATTTTCATAGAGTTGTACCATTCATAACACATAATGATGTTCACAGCACATTCCTAGAGCATACCTTCAGTCTTTTCATGGATGTTTAAAAACCCAAGACGACTACAAAGAAACTTGACACTCAGTCAAGCAGCTTCAAAAGAATGCAGGAATAAATTTCACTTCAGCATGAGTAAAAACCTTCCAAGATTTACTTCTAGAAGATATAAAAAAGGAACTCATAGCATCATTATACGTAAATACTCTAATAATTTTATGTCGAGCTGTAAGATCACTGTATCTTTGTCATTTTTCCAATGTAATAAAAAACCTAATTGTTTTCTTCCTTGTTTTTGAAGTATAGAAAATAAGTTTCATTATAACATAAACAATCATACTTAGCACAAAATCAACAGAAAGATAAGTTACATCTTTACATTTGAATATCTTTTTGATTTTCAGGATGTAAACTATTTTCTTTGTCTGCCTCTTTAATTAAAATTCTGGGAGCAAACAATGGTGATTTACTTATCTCTTCTTTCAATCTTAACTCCTTTTCACATTTGTAAATATATTTTGGGACTCTAAAAGCATTCCAAAGCAGACATACTATATGAAAACTAGCTGATCCACAGCTATTTTCCCATCAAAGTACAAGCAAAGCAGCCTCAACCCAAATTGTTGCCATGCTCATTCTGGGCTACAAACACATTTTTGTTTGTTGCTTTCCAGAAGACAAATGATGATGTGCAAGTTGAACAAAACTCAGAGAATTCACTGGACAACCAGAGACACAAGTATCCATCTTTGCATCAACTTGCTGAATTTGTTTCCTAAGAAAATTTACAAGAATTTAGATCAAAAAATGAAATAAC